TACCTCTTATGGGGCAGAGGTGCACCAATGCCCATGCGCTGCGTTCTAGACAGCCCACGCTCGTCTCGCGGTTCCATCCTGGACAGTTTGGCGGTGGCTGAAATAATCCACCCTCCGTGTTCCCCCTTTGGCTTGAACCCCGCGGGACAAGGGTCCGTCTTTGTCCCCCCTTCCGGGGCACCTACTTTGGATGACTGGGAATGTTGGCCAGAGGCCCACCCCGCGCGCTCCACCTGACTCTGCCACTCATCATGTGGCGTGGCTCTTGCTGCGCCCCCGTCCAGTGTGCCCCGCCCGGGTGCACTCCAAGGTGACGGACCGCCCCAGGTTGGTGGCCTTGGTCACGACCGACGTGCCGCGTCACGTGGCCACACCTCACGCGCTTCCCCCAGGCGGTGCTGCTCTGGGCAAGTGACAGCGCAGCCCCCCACCGAGGCCTGGCGCTCTGTCCCCCCCGCGGCCGCAGAGGACCCCCCCGAAAGGCACGGTGGAGGGATCACAGTGGTCACACTCCTCACAGTGTCTACATTGGCGTCGCCCCTCCCTCCTCCTCCGTCTTTTAACAGGATTGTGCGGCCATCGGCTGCGTCTCCCCCCCCCCTCCTCCTCTCGTGCTGATTCGGCACGCAGTGCCGCGCGGATTCCCCCCCGACCGAGGCTCCACCGGAGCACTCAGGCATCCATGGGCTCCTGAGTCCCCCCAGGCTGGACCCCCAGGTGCGTTCGGGCTGCTCTGCTGCCATGTGTTGTTTTGGACAGCCAGGGCATGCAGCAGTTGGCCCCCGCCGGCGCGTCTCTTCCAGCCCTCGGAGCGGGCGCGGCACGCCTGAGTGGGCAGGGGGCGGTTCGCGGCGCTCCAGGTGCCGGGCTACGGCATGACGCAGCCTGGCGCGCCACCCCCCTCCAGCACCACCTGGGGCCGGACCTGAGGTGAGCGCTGTACTGTCAAGTGGTTCATCCTTTGGCAGGTCGCCGATGTTCCCCCATCAGGTCCGCCCCTGCTACCTCGGCGACGCTCGCATCTGTGCGCCCCCGCCCCCCGTGACGGATAAGCTGCCCGCGTTGTACGCCGATGACTTGGTTGTCTCGCCTCCCTCGGTGGACGCCGCCTTCGAGCTCTTGCTACTGCACAAGTGGTACATCCTTTGGCAGTGATCTCGGCCCTCCCGCAGTGTGGCCCGTGGTGCTCGCCTTATGATTGCAGCTGCATCCCCCCGGCTTCAGAGCCAGGCTGTTGCAGGATGTGGACTCGGAAGACAGGGGCGGAAGACAGGGTCGACTCTTCCTGCATATGTCGGTCGCTCCTGCCCGAGCACTTCCAGGAGTCCTTGTGAGTGAGGCGTTCCTCGGTTCCCCCCTTCTTCTGTCCTCGCGTGCCCTCGCGCCCGTCGCCTTTTCCCGCTCCTTCGCCTCCTCGTCGTGTTGGACGGTGCGGCCTCACTGGCCCTCCGTGCTGCCACAGCGCGGCGTGACCCACGCCGTTACGCGCTGGTCGGTACGGACTGAGCTGGCGCCACTGTGCGACTCCTCTTCCGTCAGTTTTCTTCTGATGCCCGCGTCCCCGCTTCCGGGTCGCCTGCATCTTAATGGGGGGCATTTTGTCCCTGGCACGTGCACTTGCTGCGTCGGCCTATGCGCCGTCGTTGCTGATTATCTCGCCCTGTGCCCCAGCCGAGACCGTCCCGCTTCCTGGATCTGTCCTTGGAGCCGCCAATCAAAAAAAGTATCCCTACCAGCCCATCCAGACACGATGCTCCGTGGAGCTTCCCTGAACGTGGGAGCCGTGCATCATTTGGAGATGTCGGGGGCCTGTATGGGCAGAGGCCCCTTGGATGCATCCTTGAGTCTCGTTTGGTATCTCTTGGGGGCCTCTTAGAGACATCTTGGGGCGTTTGGGGTCCGCTCTCGGGGGGCCTCTCGGAGCGTGCTGGGTGCCTCTCGTGGGCCCCTGTGTTTTTGTTTTTTGGGGGGGTCAATGGAAACTCTCTTGAGAGCGTTTCGTGCCGTCTTGGGGACATCGGGGAGGCCACCGATCAAAGACGTGGGGTACCCTAAACAGAGCCCCGCCCCCCGCCCCCCTTCCAAGAGGGCAGAAGCTGTTTCAAGCCTGCTGGACAATCAACGATTGTTGCCTTTCGCGGAAGCCTTTTGGGATGCTCAAGCGGCCCGCCGCCGCCCCCATCCAGACCTTGGAGGAGGGGGGAGCGGGAAGGGTAGACCCGTCCACGAAGGGACAAAGGGGGGCTGGATGAGGAAACGCCCGCAACCACTTGCGCCCTGAAGAGCTAGTGGGATTCCAGGACGGTGCTTGAGCCCCTTCCAGAGCGTTCATATTCTACTATACAGAGACCGCTATGGGGCCTGAGGGCACTCGATTTCGTGCCTCGGGATGCAACGGCCGCCTCCAGCATGGCAGCGAATGCCTAATCCTCCATTCCACGCGAGCTCGCTCGAGGATGGTGCACTTCCAGCATGGTAGCTAATGCTTCAACCCTCATTCCATGCGCGCCCGTTCACGGATTGTGTTCTTCCAGCATGGCAGTTTATGCCTAAACCCCATTCCACGTGTGCCCGCTCGAGGATGGTGCATTTCCAGTGCGGCAGCCAATGCCTGAACCTTCATTCCATGCGCGCCCGCTCGAAAATAACTCGCGCCCGCTCGAGGATCGCGCAAGTGCCGCATTCCCAGGCGTTGAAGCGCTCCAGGGCATCTCACGCGACGTTCCCGCAGTCGAATCTTTCGGATGCAACTCCTGCGAGGTCCTTTTTGTTATCTTGCCCTGGTCCGAAATCCATTTTCATCCTGCTTCATCCCGCTGAATCCCGCCTAATCCAGCTTAATCCGAGGCCCTTTCCGGCGTAACGCCCCCCCAATGGGGCTTAATTTCGACGAAAACTTCCCAGTAGTTGCCTCCTAGAAAGTTATAGATCTGCGTCACGATGTTCGAAGACGGCCCGTGCAGGCAACCAAGGACACCACGATTGCCCAAGATGCCTCGACGGCGGCCCAACAGGGTCTTATGGCGGCCGCATATCGCCCCAAGACGGCCCAAGAGGCCTCCAAGAAAACCCAACATGGCCACAAGATGACCTCCAGCAGGGTCCGAAGACGGATGTTCGCATTCTCACTTTTTCGGGTTGCCGTTACATCAAGACGGCCCAAAAGGAATCCACGATGGCCCACGAGGCATCCAAGACGGCCCCAAGACGTTCCACGAGGGCCTCCCATGTGACCCAAGACGGCTTTGGGAGGCTCTTAGGCAGCCCACGACGGCCCCACGACGGCCCCCGGGCATCCAACATGCGGCCAAGAAGGCCCAAAGACTGCCCAAAAGAACCCCAAGCTGGCGTAAAAGGGCCCCAAGACTGCCCAAGAGGGCCCCAAGGGACCCCCAAGACTGCCTCACAGGAGGTCAAGGCAGCCCCAAGACGACCCAAACCTACCCAAACGAGTTTCCTCATCGTCATCATCATCATCATCATCATCATCAGCATCATCATCATCATCAGCATCATCATCATCATCGTCATCGTCATCGTCATCGTCATCATCTTCTTCTTCCCCACCATAACCATCACCGTCGTTATCATCATCGTCATCAGCATCATCACCATCGTCGTCACAATCATCAGCATCATTATCATCAACATAATCATCATTATCATCATTAGTATCGATACCACCACGAACATCACTATCATCATCATCGTCATCATCATCATCATCATCATCATCATCAGCGTCATCATCATTACCACCATCATCATCATCATCATCAACAACAACATCATCATCATCATCATCATCGTCGTCGTCATCATCAGCATCAACACTGCCATTCCCACCAGCATCATTATTGCCATCATCATAATCACCATCATTAACAACATCATCATCACCACCATCATTACCACCATATACAGCATCATCCGCATTGCTATCATCACCATCGTACTCATCACCATCACCACAATAATTGCCATATTTACCATCATCATCATCATCATCGGCATCATTCTCGGCATCATCATCACCCCCATCATCAACAACAGCATGATCATTACCAGCATCAACGACATCTTCAGCAGCATCATCATTATCAGTATCATCATCGTCATCTGCATCGGCATCGTCGTCATCATAATCAGGAGCGTCATCAGCATCATCATCATCCTCAACATAATAATCCCAATGATGAGCTTCCTCATCATCAGCATCATCATCAACATCATCATCATGATCATTATCAAGAACGGGAGATTGGTCTGTAGGCGAGTCGCGAGGGAGTCTTGAGCGGAAGGCCCTCCCCTACGGGGTTCCCACCTCATGTTTCTTTCCTTTCATCCGTGTGGGTCATTCGATCCCTGTGACTGTCGTCATTGTTGGGCTCCTCAGGCCTGACTATGAGTCTCGAGCTTGAGCCTCGGTTGTGAGTGAGCCGCGAGGAAGTCTTGAGCGGGAGCCCCATCACTATGGGGCTTGCACTTCATCTTAGTAATCCGAGGCGGTCGTCCTAAAACCTGTGACCGTCGTCACTCTTGGGCTCCTCGTGCCCGAATACCGAGGAAGCCGCGAGCGGGGGCCTCGTCCGTGAGTGAGTGGCGAGGGTGTCCCGAGCGGGAGCCCCCTCCTTTTATGGGGCCTGGTCTTCCTGCCGTGAACACCAACAGTTCGGAGCGGCCTCGTCCTTGCACGACGGCTTTAGATCTCACTTTTTCGGGCTGCCGTTAGATCAAGACGGCCCAAGAGGACTCCACGATGGCCCACGAGGCATCCAAGACGGCCCCAAGACGTTCCACGAGGGCCTCCCATGTGACCCAAGACGGCTTTGGGAGGCTCTTAGGCAGCCCACGACGGCCCCACGACTGCCCCCGGGCATCCAACATGCGGCCAAGAAGGCCTCAGCCCCTTGCCCCAGAGCGCCCCGTCGTGCGTGCCCCCGTCGCCCCGGAGAGTCCGCCGCGCCCTTCCCCCCCCCCCCCCCCCGCCGCCCCAGCAGAGGCTGGCGCGTAGGGCGCCCGAGGACGAGGAGGGCGAGAGCGGCGCGCTGTGTGCGGCCACTGCGGCCACCATCCCGGTCGCCGCCGCTGCCGGCCCCGGCTTCCCTCCGCGCGCTCGCGAGTCCAGCGGGGGCCGCTCCGAGCGGTGCGGTGACCACACCGGGGAGTAAGTCCGTGGGGAGGTGGTGCCACCGCACGCTGGTGGGACTCGGGCCGTTCTCCGGGGATGCCTCGGGCGACTGGGGCTGTCGAGGTCCCAAGACCGCAGCCGTGCGGTGACGCACCGTGCGGTGAGGTCGTTTCGGGAACCTCGAGGTCGCCGCGCACGGTCTGCCATTGCAGGGTGTGGGACCCCCCCCCCAGGGTCACGGCCGCGGAAGCCAGGACTTTGCAAACCAGGATTCTGCCAGATCCAGTGGGAGAGCACGGAGAATGCTTCGACCCACGGCAGCAGTTGTCTTGGATGCGCCAGCGTCTTGGTTTACAAAAATATGATCTCTTCTATGGAGCCCGGAAAGAGTATTGTTTTCTAGCGGCGCAGCGCCAGAGCCCTGAGGGCGTCGTGAACACAGATCACGGCGGCGGGCATTCCTAGCCCGTTTTGGGCCTTCGTGTGTTTCACGGGTCGATCCGGATCGAGAGATCTAGGGTACATACAAGGGCGAGGGACCAGGTTTTGATTTCATTCACGACGATGGTTTGCTTGCGACGCCGGATGTCAGGAAATGTCAGAAATCAAGAAGTCATCACCAACGTTGATATCGGCGATCGCTTCTACCGATTATGTTAGTTACAGAGGGAGCCTTCTGGCCTTTGGCCTTTTGCCAACCATCAATGCCAACACCGAGGGTAACTTTTTCCATGTGGGGGCGAACCCCAGCATGGGAGCACTGATGTTGGCTTCGTGTAAGACGTTATGAACCATGTTGATCATCGATTTATTTAATAGATTTGTAAGTTCGCTATGGTGGACCGATTGTATAGATCTCAAGTGTGGGAGTGCTCCTAGCGAGTTATTCCAAGGTATCCGGAAAGTCATCGACTTGGTGGTTATGAGACAGCCGCTTGTGATGAACTTGCTGGATGCACAGCCCTGGCGGTGGCTAAGATGTCAGCCACTCTTTCCCCGGAAGCCGGATGCACGTGACCTGACCGGCCTGGGCGAGGGACGGGCGCACGTGTGTGGCAGCATGCCTCTGCGGCGCTCGGCCCTGGCTCGCGTGAGCGGGCACGCCAGCCCTCCGCGTGTGCATCCGGCACGCGGCCTCCGCATGTTGCGCACTCGCATCCTGGCGCGCGCGCGTGTTCCAGCATCCTGGCAGCAGCACGACTGGCACCGACGCGGCGGCCGACGCGGCCATCGCGACGCGGCCATCGCCGACGCGGCCATCGCCGAAGCGGCCGACGCGGCCATCCAGCGGCCATCGCCAGCGGCGGCCGCTGGCGCGGCCGCCGGTGGGCCCGCCGCGCCGGCACCCGCCGCGCCGGCGGGGACGCCGCGCGCACCCCAGGGGCGCGGGCGCGCCCTCTCCTTCGCCAGCGCCCCCCTCCCCCCCCCCACCTCGCCGCGGCCGCCCTCTCGCGCCGCGCCCGTGCTCCGCCGCCCGCCGCGCGTGCCCTCCTCTCTCGGGAGCCGTGGAGGCGGACCACGGACCACCTCGCCTCGTCCTGGCCGGGCCCCGGTTCGGCCACGCGCACAGGGGGGTGGCGGGAGGGGGCGGGGGGCTTCTTCGAAGCACCCCCCTGCTTCCTGGGAAGCGCGGGCCCTCTCTATACATGCAAGGCCGGCGCCTTCTGAGAAGCAGCCCCTTTCTCAGAAGCCTTCCACCCTCCCCCTGCCCTGATGGGCCTGTTTTCCACCACCACCACCACCACCATAGGTTGGAGGGGGGAAGGAGGAGGAGGAGGAGGAGGAGGAGGAGGAGGAGGAGGAGGAGGAGGAGGAGGAGGAGGAGGAGGAGGAGGAGGAGGAGAAGGACGAAGAGGAGGAGAGAGGAGGAGGAGGAGGAGGAGGAGGAGGAGGAGGAGGATCCTCTCCCCCTCCAACTTATGGTGGTGGTGGTGGTGGTGGAAAACAAGCCCATCATGCCCCTCGCTTCGGGCATAGCCAGGACCCCATGTAAGGGGACCCGGAGCCCATAAGTTGGCCAGAATCACTAAACCAGGCCTGCCGCAGCTGCTGTTCTTCGGGTGACGGCAGTTCCGGTTCGTGGAACGTGGCCTTGGGGGCGCCCCCCAGTAGACATCACTAAACCAGGTCCCATTAGACATTAGACCCACTTCCTCCTCCTCCTCCTCCCTCCTCCTCCTCCTCCTCCTCCTCCGTTCTGCCAACGCCCGACCGCTGCGCGCCGCCAGCCGCTGCTCGCGCCGCGCCCTCCGCTCCGCCCCCCCCCGCCCCGCCCCGCGCCGCGGAGGTCGGGCCGCCGGGGGCCCGGCGGCCCCACTCGCCGCCCGTGGTGCCGCCGCGCGGCGGCGCCGCCCCGTGGGGCCCGGGCTGGCGGCGGAGGAGCCGCGCGCGCCGGCGCGGCGCGGCGCGGCGCCGGCGGCGCCTGGGCGCCGTCGACGGCGGCGGCGTCGCTGCGGTCGTCGAGGTCGGCGTCGTCGTCGGCGGCGTGGTCGTCAGAGCGTCGTCGTGGTCGCTGCGGTCGTCGCGGGTCGGCGTCGTCGGCGTCGGCGTCGGCGTCGTGGTCGTCGTGGTCGGCGTGGTCGCCGCCGCCGCGCCGCCGTCGACGTCGCTGCGCCGTCGTCGCGCGGAGCCCCGGGGGGCGGCGGCGGCGGCGCCCAACGGCGCCCGCTGGCGTGGCGCGCTCCCGCCCCTCCTCCGACCTCGGAGTGCCTCTGGCGCCGTGCCCGCGGGGCCAGCACTGCGCGCGGCCAGCTGACGCTATCAGGCGGTGGGCGATCGACGACCGCGGCGGCGTCGCCGTCTCCTCTTCCTCTCCTGCTCCCCGTTGCTCACCCTCCCCCCTCCCTCCCTCTTCATCTTCTTCCTCCTCCTCCTCCTCCTCCTTTTCCTCCGCCTCCTCCTCCTCATCCCGTCCCCTCCTGGAGGAGGTCTGGAGGACGATCGATCAGCGGCTGCAGCGGCAGCGGCGGCAGCAGCGGCAACAGCGGCAGGGGGGGGGGGAGGGGCCACGGAGGCCTCCACGACCGTCGCCCGGCGTTGCCCAGAGGAGGTCTCTAGGAGGCCCCCCTCCCGAACGCCCACGGACCCCCCAACAGGAAACGACACATCATCGTCCGAGGACGACGACGGACGACCACGGCGGCGACGACGGCGACGGCGACGGCGACGGCGACGGCGACGGCGGAGAGGCGGCGCCGCGTACCGAGCGGCGGCGCCGGTGCACATCGACTGGCGGCCCTGGCGGCGGCGGCGAGGACCCCCGACGACGGCCTCGCCCAGGGCGAGGCGGGGCCGCTCTCTCGCGCCGCGTGCGCCAGCGCGCGCGCGCGGCGCGCTGCTCCCGCCGAGGTGGTCGTCATCCTGGCCGACGTCGTCGCCGTCGCCGCCGTCAGAGTCGTGGGCGACGTCGTCGCAGTCGGCGTCGTCTTCCTGGCGGCCGACGTCGTCTTGGTCGTCGTGCTTGACGTCGTCGAGGCGGCGGAGGATGAGGAGGAGGTGGAGGAAGAGCAGCAGGCGGAAGAGGAGGAGTAGGCGGAGGAGTCGGAGGATGAGGCGTCGGGTGGGGACGGGGGGGAAGAGGAGGAACAGGAGGTGCAGGAGGTGCAGGAGGTGGAGGAGGTGGAGGATCCGCGTGTCGCCGAGGGAGGTCAGAACTGGTGTGGTGCGGGGGCCTGCCTGTGGGCAATCGTACAGTCAGGATATTTTGCTCAGCGTCTCGCTCAGCCAGTCCTGGCACACCACGCTTCGGCGCGACACGCTAACCACGTCCCAATTGCGAAGCGTCAACGTCCCGGAGCGACACGCCATCTGCCTGCGTGGCACAGTGTGTCGCTGGGGCCGCCGCCGCGGCACGCCAAGCCAAAGGTCCCGACCGTACGCCCCCAGCACCCACACCAATCTGCTTCGGCGGCGAGCGAGGGGGGGAAGCGAGAAGGGGCGGGCCTTTTCAGAAGGCTCGGAAGCCCCCAGCCTCCTGAGAAGTTTTTTAAGTCTTCCCCGAAGACACGGACCATTTCTCAGAAGGCCGGAGGACTCATGAGAAGTCCAGGCGCCTTTTCAGAAGGTCTTCTCCCCTTCTCATTTCCCCCTCTCGCTCGCCGCCGCACCACCCGCCCATTCCAGTTCTCGCCGGAAGAGTCGACGACGGCGCCAAGATGGGATGGCAGTATTCCGCAAATGGCGGCAGACCCCCCACAGGTCCAAGAGGCGCCCTCAAAGGCCGTAGAGGGCCCCGAGAAGTGCCCAAAGTGGGCCGAAACAGGGCCCGAGGCTGCCCAGGATGGCCTCTGGCCGGCTCAAGCGCGAGCATCCCCCATGGTGGGCCGGCCCGAGCTCCGTTTTCATTTTCATCGCAACCGGGTTCAGATCGGGGCCTGTTCCGGCTCCGTTTTGGGGCCCCCTGTCGGGCCCAGAATCGTCCAAAAGTGATCCCGAGAATTCCCCCCAAAAATCGGTGACGAAATGCACAGCACATGTTCGACAATGGCCCAGGCGAGGCCGATTGTCGGCTAGAAGAGGCGTCCGGGCGACCACCAGCGAGGCGAAAATCCTCGAGCACCGTTGCGATATTTTTGAAGCTCCCAGTCTGTACGCGCAGTTGGGCCCCAGAGGCGTCGGGGGCCGACCCGTCTGTCTGTGCAAGAGGCCTACGCCACTCCGCCGACCCACGAGGACGACATCGGCCGGCTGGAAGCAGAGCAGGAGAGGAGCTGGACGTTGAGGGGGAGGGGGGCGAGGAGCAGGAACGGGGGAGCCTCTCGGGGCATCCGGAGGCCTTCTTGGGGGGCTCCTTCTGGGCCTTCTGCCCCGTGGGCGCCTCTGGGGGGAGCCCTCCCTCGACGGCCCCTGGGAGCCGACGTTGCAGAACGATTGCCGCATCGCAAGACATCGCGCCCGGACCCCCGGACCGCATCTTTGTGGGCCATTTTTCAAGCCCGATCGATCCGTGAGGGTCCCAGGGGCCGGAAGTTGAGCGAAAACGCCCCGCTCGAAAAAATTGAGTCGCCTGGGTTCTGGTTGACCCAGAAGGGGGTCCAGCTGAAAGGGAGTGTGGTGCAATAGGTTTGGGGCAATGGTATTGCAAGTGTGCTGCGCCAGAGAATTGTATTGCACTGTCTTGCAACTAATCCGTGAGGGTCCCAGGGGCCCGAAGTTGAGCGAAAACACCCGGCTCGAAAAAATTGAGTGACCAGGATCTCTCAGGCGATCTCAAACATGGATCAAGGGGGCGTGGATTAGCGACGGGCCCCGTGTCCACGGGCAATCGCGGATTTCCGCTGCCGAGCGGGGCGGCACCGGCCGCATTTTGGGGAGGGCACCTCGCCCGATCCATGGATTTGGCGACCGCGCGCCACATCCATGGATCGCTACAGTCGGCCCGGATTAGTAGGTCGACCCTGCCAAATCAAGGCTACCCTTGTTTCCTGTGTCGCGCCACCCGTGCCTCCTGCACTCCTGTGGCAGTGTGGCCCTCGGGAGGGTCTTCTGTCCTCTCGAGTGTCCTGCCCAGTGAAGTCCGACTGTAACCCATGCCGGCGCGTCCCCGAGAACATTGAGGCGCCAGGATCCCAGGGGCGGCCGACGACGGGCGCCGACGTCGGCCCGCGGCCTCCCCGCAGCTGGCGAGGCGCGCCGAGCCGGCGGCGGCGAGGCGCAGGGTCCGCCGCACAGGCCCGCCGGTCGGCCAGCCTCGTCGGTCGGCCTCGCCGCCGCCGCGGCCTCGCCGCCGCCCCGCTCCGAGCCGTGGCGAGGCGTCGCGGCTCGCCGGCAGGCCCACCGAGGAGTGTGCTGAGAACCGGTTGAGGTCTGCAGGAGCTGTCCTTGGAACGTTTCTGGCTGGGGCCTGTTTGTCTTGACGCACCGGGCTTCTGTTCTAAGGGCATTGGTCTTTGTTATCAGAACATCTCTGGGTTCGAAGAACATGTCGTGGTAGGCCTGTAGGAATGCCGGGACGGTCGAAGCAACACCGGGAGGCCACGGGCGTGCGAGCCTTATCACCCACCACACCACGATCCCGGAGCCCCTCGAGTCACGAACAAAAACACGACGGGAGGTTTTTCCATAGTTTCGGCCTCCGGGGGCCCTCACGTCGCCTCGGGATCGTCAAAAAACGGCTCAGGACGAAAAACCGGTCCCGGGGAATGGGTCCAGACTTCTGAGGGTCGACGCCATCAAAAAATCATGATGTCAGGGGTTTGGGCTTTCGAAGGGGGGAGGTGAGGGGGGGGTCCCTTCGCTCGGGACCTCCCGAGCGAAGTGAACCCCGCCTCCCCCTCCTCAGAAATATCGTAGCGTGGTGGGGTAATAGTCGGGTTCCCGTGCGGCCCCCTAGACACAGTACGACGTCGGAGGCGTGGGCTGGGGCACCTCGCGCTCTTGCCCTCTCTCTCTCTCTCTCTTTCTCTCCCTCTGCCTTGGAGGCGCGCCTCCCGCAGAGCAGCGCAGCCAGCTTGGAGATCATCTATGGCTCTCCCAGGCGCTCTTGGAGTCATCTGAAGCAGTGCCCCCCCCCAGGAGGCCAGCATGTGGCCAAAACCTTAGTAAAATCAACGATGTTGGCATTGTCGCCGAGGCCTCTTGGAGCGTCTTGGGTGCCTCTGGGGGGCCTCTGGGGGCCTCTTGGAGGTCTCTTGGAGGTCTCTTGGGAGCCTCTTGGGGGCATCCTGGGGGCATCCTGGGTGCCTCTTGGGGCTTCCTGGCCACCTCTTGGGGCCCTCTTGGGTCACCCTTGGGAGCCTTGGGGGCCATCTTGGAGGAGATCGATCAAACAAGAGGAGAGCTTCAATTAGGGTTCCCCCCAAAACAAAGGCCAACGTGGGGCCAAACCCCTAGTAAAACCAATGATTTTGCATTCCTCGCATAGGCCGTTTTGGACGCCCTGACACCTCGCGACCCCCCCCCGTCCAGGTCCAAGGGAGGGGGTAGGGGGAGGGGTCAAGACTCCCTCCCCGCCCGCAAGCCGTCTCGCTCACTCCCACCCGCCCTCCCAACACATACGTAGCACCCGAGCCTGGCCCGAGCCGCAGCATATGCAGCAGCCGTCTTTGGATGGCCAGCTACTGGGGGCCAATGCGCCGCCGCCGCCGCGCTGTCCGCCGCCGCCGCCGCGCCGCCGCCGCGCGCCGCCGCCGCCGCGGCCGCTGTCCGCCGCCGCCGCCGCCGCCGCCGTCGCCCCCGCTGCCGAATCGCCGCCGCCGCAGCCGCTGCCGCCACCCCCGCCGCCGCCGCCGCCGCCACTGCCGCCGCCGCCGCCCCCGCCGCCGCCGCCACTGTCGCCGCCACCGCCGCAGCCGCCGCAGCCGCTGCCCCTGCCGCAGCCGCCGCAGCCGCCGCCGGCGCCGCCAAGTGTACTCTGTATTGTTTCTGTTGACAGGGATGGTGGGGGGAGGCCGCATCGGGTTCGCTGCGCATGCTCCGAATTTGGAGGCAGAGTGTGTTTTGTATTGTTTTTTGAAAGGGATGGTGGTGGTGGGGGCCCGCATTGACCCTGGTTGGCGCCCAGTCGCCTGGGGGAGGGGGTGTATAGTAATAGGGAACAGTGATAAGCCCCTCCCCGAAGGGGAAGAAGGAGGGGTGGAAGAGGAAACGCTCTAAACCACCGACGCCCAGAGGGCTGGTGGGATTAGTCGCCGATTCCCCGGAAAATGTGGGCAAATATGGGCAGTGGGGGGAAGACGAAAATCCAGAACATAGGGGGAGGTATGGGGAATCCTATCATTTGTGTGTATTTATTTGTGCGTCCTTGGGCCCCTTGATCCAAGAGCTCCCTCGAGGGTGCGAAGTTATTCGCGCTTCGCGCTTCGTCTGGACGACGTCAGAGCGAGGCGCGAAGTTATTCGCGCTTCGTGGCCTGAGCCTACGACGGCTTCCAGACCGATGGTAGACGCGCCCCGCATCCTTGGGGCCAGGCCATTGAGGGATCCCATCGAGGCGCGAAGTTGTTCGCGCTTCGCGCGGAGCCCGTGGAGTTCGGAGGGGGACCCAGGGGTTAGGATAAGGTTTTCGAGCGGAGTCCACAGAATTCGGAGTAGGTTTTCGCGCGGAACCCTAGTTGCGTTGCGATGTGTCTTGCATTGCACTGCATTGCTTCGCGTTGCCTTGCATTGCCTTGCACCATCTTGCATCGCGAAAAACCGAATCCGAATTCCTTGGGCTCCGCGCGAAATTATCCCAACCCGGGGGTCCCCCTACGAAAACCCTTGGCCTAAATCACTGCCCTCCTACGGAAAAAAAAAACAAACACATCCGAACTACATTCGCTCCGCGCGAAAACCTATTCGGAATTCCTTGGGCTCCGCACGAAAGCCTTATCCTAATTCCCGCCCCCCCCCCTACGAAGCATTATCCTAATTCATTGGTCCCAATACCATAACGCGTATCCGAACTCCATGGGTTCCGCGCGAAAATCTAATCCGAATTCTTTGGGCATGTTCCCAAATGCCCTATCCTAACGCCCGGCTCCCCTACGAAAACCTGATCCAAACTCGCTGGCCGCCCTACGAAAACCATATCCGAACTCCATGGGCTCCGCGCGAAAACCAAATCCAAATTCCCTGGGCTCCGCGCGGAAACCTTATCCTAATTCCCAGGCCTCCATACGAAAACCTTATCCTAACCCACTAGCTCCCAGACCACCTACGAAATCCTTATCCAATCTCACTGTCCGCCCTACGAAAACCAGATCCGAACTCCATGAGCTTCGTGCGAAAATCGAATCCCAATTCTTTGGGCTCCGCCCGAAAACCTTATCCTGATTCCCAGCCCCCCTACGAAATCCGTATCATATCGCACTGGAGCCCCTACGAAAACCATATCGGAACTCCATGGGCTCCGCGCGAAAACCTAATCCGAATTCCTTGGGCTCAGCCCGAAAACCTTATCCTAACTCCTGCCCCTTCCCCCCCTACAAAAACCTAATCCTAACTGACCTCCCCCCGACGAAAACCATATCTGAAATCCATGGGCTCCGCGCGAAGACCTAACTGGAATGCCCAGGGCTCCGCCAGAAAGCCTGCGAACTCCATGGGCTCCGCGCGGAACCTAATCCGAATTCCAAGGGTTCCGCCCGAATACCTTCTCCTAGCTCCCAGACCACCTACGAAATCCTTATCCAATCTCACTGTCCGCCCTACGAAAACCAGATCCGAACTCCATGAGCTTCGTGCGAAAACCTAATCCCAATTCTTTGGGCTCCGCCCGAAAACCTTATCCTGATTCCTAGCCCCCCTACGAAATCCGTATCATATCGCACTGGAGCCCCTACGAAAACCATATCGGAACTCCATGGGCTCCGCGCGAAAACCTAATCCGAATTCCTTGGGCTCAGCCCGAAAACCTTATCCTAACTCCTGCCCCCTTCCCCCCTACAAAAACCTAATCCTAACTGACCTCCCCCCGACGAAAACCATATCTGAAATCCATGGGCTCCGCGCGAAAACCTTATCCTGATTCCCAGCCCCCCTACGAAATCCTTATCCTATCGCACTGGAGCCCCTACGAAAACCATATCGGAACTCCATGGGCTCCGCGCGAAAACCTAATCCGAATTCCTTGGGCTCCGCGCGAAAGCCTTATTCCTGACTCCTAGGCCCCCCTACGAAAACCTTATCCTACCCAGCTGGCCGCCCTACGAAAACCATATCCGATCTCAACGGGCTCCGCGCGAAGATCTATTCGGAATTCCTTGGGCTCCGCGCGAAAGCCTTATCCTAATTCCCGGCCCCCCCCTACGAAATCCTTATCCTATCTCACTGGCCCCCCTACGAAAACCATATCCGAACTCCATGGGCTCCGCGCGAAAACCTAATCCGAATTCCTTGGGCTCCGCGCGAAAGCCTCATCCTGACTCCCGGGCCCCCCTACGAAAACCTTATCCTAACCCACTGGCCGCCCCACGAAAGCCACGTCCGAACCCCATGGGCTCCGCGTGAAAACGAATTCCGCATTCCTTTGGCTCCGCCCGAAAACCTTATCTCAACTCCCAGCCTAACCCACTGGCCCCCTCACGAAAACCATATCCGAACTCCATGGGCTCCGCGCGAAATCCAAATTGGAATTACTTGGGATCCGCCCGAAAACCTTGTCCTAACTCTCGGCCCCCCCGACGAAGACCTTATCCTAGCTTATTCCCCCTTGCGAACCTCATTCGAATTCCTTTATTCTTGGGCCCTCCTGCGAAAACCTTATCCTAACTCACTGGCCCCCATGCGAAAACCATATCCGAACTTCATGGGCGCCGTTCGAAAACCTAATCCGAATTTCTTGGGCCCTGCGCGAAGATCTCATCGGAAGTCTTGGGGCCCTCCACCAAAACCTGATCCTAACCAACTGGGCGCCCTACGAAAACCATATCCAGACTCCTGGGGCTCCGCGCGAAGCCTACTCCGAATTTGGTGGTCTCCGCTCGAAAGCCTTCTCTTGATTTTACGAAAACCTAATAAGAAGTCACTGGGCTCCTTACGAAAAGCATTCCCAACTTCGAGGGCCGGCGTTCCTCTCTCATCGTCCTCTGTCCCCACGTCCACCTCAGTCCTCATCCTCTGCATGCCTTGCGGGCCTCGGACCCTCCCATCGCCCCACGCCCTTGTCTTGTCCCCAGGGGGAAGCGCAAAAGGCTCGAAGTCATTCGCGCTTCGCGCGTCGCGAGCCCCTCGTCTTGTCCCAGGGGGGGGGGGGCGCAAACGCGCTGAGTTATTCGCGCTTCGCGCAGCGCGAGGCGCGAAGCTGGGAGCCCTTGTGGATCGCGGCGGGAAGCCAGCACGGTTGCGTTTGACCAGCAGGTCGACCCTGCCCAGACAAAGGGTGCCCCTGTGCCCCGTGTTTCTCGCGGCCCGTCCACCCCAGCCGTGCTCTGGTGCCTGCGACGGCGGGATCCCGCTGCCGCTGGCGACGCGGAGCGGCCCGGGCGGCCGGCTCTCGCTGCCGACGTGCAGATGCACGCGGGGCCGTCCTTGGCATCGCTCGGACGTGTGCATTTTTCCTTCGGCGAGGACCATCGAGGAGCATCCTTAATTGATCATCTGGCGAGAAAAGCCACACGCACGAAACCGAACAAAAGACACAGGGAATGGACGTCCGAGCGATGGCCAGCTCGCTGCTGACACGCAGATGCCTGCGGGGCCGTCTGGGAGAGAGGCCCGTCGCGAGGAGGGCACCGTGCACGGAGGCACCGCGGTGCCTACCATCCCCCCAGCCCCGCCCCCAGGGCCGGCCTGTGGGCCGACAGAGGGCGCCTGCCTGCCTGCCTGCCGGGTGGCATCGCTCGGACGTGCGCATTTGTTCTTCCATCAGGCTTGCCCTAATGATGGGAGCCCGAGCTCAAAGCCAATTGATTGGTCCGCTGCCCCCCCCCCTACTTCCTATGCCCCCCCTAATTCCTATGGCTATGCCTATGCATATGCCTCCCCTCTGATTCCTATGCCTACGCCTATGCCTGTGCCTGCTTGCGCGCTTGCGCGCTTGCACGCTTGCTTGCGTGCTTGCTTGCACGTTTGCACGCTTGCTGAGTTGCTTGCTTGCTTGCTTGCGCGCTTGCTTGCGCGCTTGCTTGCGCGCTTGCTTGCGCGCTTGCTTGCGCGCTTGCTTGCGCGCTTGCTTGCTTGCTGAGTTGCGGATTCCAAGTATGGTTGATTCCTCTGATTCTTTGATTTGAGTCGTCTGATCTATTTGAAGTCCACGCTACTTTGGCGGCGCACCATCGGCGGTGGCGCTTCGGCGGTGGCCCTGCAGCGGAAGTTGGGCATAACCAGGACTGGGACGAGTCGTTCCAGAGCGATGCGGAGCGCTCCCGAAGCATCATCCCGTAGCGCTCTGGAACGGCCGCGGCGCCCGACACATCCTCCAGAACCGCCGGATCTCAGATGCCCCCGATGGGTCCCGGTCAGCTGTTGTCCCGGCCATAGCTTCGCCTTGCTCCGCCAGGAAGATTTGTTCACAGACGCCCTCCGATGGATTGCTCCTGGGCCTCAGGGGAGGGTGGCGGTGCATATGTCACTATCCCAGACACTCCACCCCCCACTGAGGTCACCCCCCAATTGCCATCCGCCCAAGTTGCAGAAGGCTCGGAAGCCCCCCAGCCTTCTGAGAAGTTTTCTAAGCCTTCCCTGAAGACGTAGAGAAACCTTCTCAGAAGGCGCCAGAATTTCTGAGAAGTCCCGCCGCCTTCTGAGAAGGCCTTCTCCTTCTCATTTCCCCCCTCGCTCGCCGCCGAACCTAAGCCTCTGGGGACCACCCGCAGGCCACACAATACTGACACACCGACGACGACGCTGACGTCGACGCCGACGCCGACACCGACGAGACGACATCATGACCACGACCACGACGACGGCGACGACGACGACGACCACGAACCAAGAACCACGAACCGCGAACCACGACCCACGACCACGACCGAGACCACGACCGCGACCGCGACCACGACCACGACGACGAGGACCACGACGACGACAATGACCACCGCGACCACGAGGACGACGACGACCATGACGACGACGAGGACGACGGCCACGACCACGGCCACGGCCACGGCCACGACCACGCCACGGCCACGGACGTGCCACCCCGTCCAGGGGCCGAGAGCCCCCGGTCCGTGCTGCTCTTCTGAGGGAGGGCCCTTTCGGCGGCGGCACGGAGGGCGTCGTCGTCGTCGTCGTCGTCGTTGTCGTCGTCCTCGCCCTCGCCCCCGTCGTCGTCCTCGCCCTCGCCCTCGCCCTCGCCCTCGTCGTCGTCGTCGTCGTCGTCCCCCACGAGGCGTCCAAGAGGCCCCCAGGAGCCTCCGAAGAGGCCCCAGAACTATCCCGAGAGAGGCCTCCGAGAGCGCTCGTCGTCGTCGTCGTCGTCGTCGTCGTCGTCGTCGTCGTCGTCGTCGTCGTCGTCGTTGTTGGTCGTCGTCGTCGTCGGTCGTCGAGGAAGTTGGGAGGTCTGAGGTTGGACATTCTGGGGGCCGTTTGGGGCTGCCTCGGGCGCCCGCGTCGCCACGGTCGAACTTCTGGCCAGCACGCAGCCCACAGGGCCGGGGTCTTCGCTGTCGTCGTCGCCGTGGTCGTCATCG